AAAGTTGGAAGGGACCTTGGAGGTCATCGAGTCCAACCCCCTGCCCAGGCAGGAACCCTACACCATTTCAGACAAACGGCTGTCCAGTCTCTTTTTAAAAACTTCCAGTGTTGGAGCATTCACAACTTCTGGAGGCAGGTTGTTCCATTGATTAATTGTTCTAACTGTCAGGAAGTTTCTCCTTAGTTCTAAGTTGCTTCTCTCCTTGATCAGTTTCCACCCATTGCTTCTCGTCCTGCCTTCAGGCGCCTTGGAGAATAGCTTGACTCCTTCTTCTTTGTGGCAGCCCCTGAGATATTGGAACACTGCTATCATGTCCCCCCTCGTCCTTCTCTTCATTAAACTAGACATACCCAATTCCAGCAACCGTTCCTTATATGTTTTAGCCTCCAGTCCCCTAATCATCTTTGTTGCTTTTCTCTGTACTCTTTCTAGAGTCTCAGCATCTTTTTTACATTGTGGTGACCAAAACTGGATGCAGTATTCCAAGTGTGGCCTTACTAAGGCATTGTAAAGTGGTATTAATACTTCACGTGATCTTGATTCTATCCCTCTGTTAGAATCAAGATCACGTGAAGTATTAATACCACTTTACAATGCCTTAGTAAGGCCATTTTCTTGGACAGGTTCCTATAGACAGCATAATTCAAGTTAAAAGTTGAATTGTAATTGTTCCAATGCAGGCCAGATCCTTATGGCACAGTTTATTATGTTCAGAGAATAGAGATACCACACCTGGGCTGCTAAAATCTGGATGTCTGTAAGATAGCAGGTTTTTTTTCTGTATTACTTTGTTAACATCTAATAGTTAACATCTAATTTGTTAACATCTAATGGCCATCCATTTTTGGCAGGCCCAAACGGATAGCCTGGTCTGAAAAGGCATTTTCCAAAAATTTCAATTTCAAGAATACATTTTATTTTTAAATTAATATTGTGATTATTTACAATTGAAAGCAGCCCCCCTTTTAAGAATTTCAGTTATTCACTATACGTATTTCATAGTGTCTTTAACATGAGGCCATCATTTCAAAGGAAAGGAATACATGCAAACATTCAAGAAAGGAATTAGTATCATCAACTTAATATGCTCATTCTTCATCTTTGCAAAACTTTTCATTTGGAAAATTTTAAAAAAACTTGGAAGGACTGCTAGATGTCTCTTAATTACAGTATATAGGTGTTCTTTATCTATGCTTAAATATTGCAATAAGCTATCATTTTATTTAACTATGGTTTGTTCAATAAATCACAAAATGGATTGGTTAAGTTGTGCTTACAAGCAATCATTGCTGGATTCAGTAGGGCAGCTAAGAAAATCAAGTTGCATTAAAACAAGTTGCATTAAGGCTTATCATGATTTATGAATCCAGCTTATGTTAAACTGCAACAGATTTCAGTGGGATCACTTTTCCTAAATACTTCAGCTACAATGAATTATCTGCATACACAGGTGATATATATTATATTCAGATGGCTTTTTCAGGAACAGAGGTACTGCCAGAAGAAGCTGAACTCAAGAGCTACTGTATTTCATGCCAAGAGCACTGGTGACAAATCATGGTAGTTTGTTGTTCTTGAACAACATGTTAATGAACATGCCAATATGGCTATTTAGGCTAGTAACGCCTGACATAGTTTACCATGGTTTGCATAGCTTGCTGATTTCCTATATCCATATTTTGTAAAAAAACAAACAAACATTAACTCTCTCTCTCTCTCTCTCTCTCTCTGTGTGTGTGTGTGTGTGTGTATGTCTCTCTCTCTGTGTGTAGGCACACATGCATGGCTTTGACTCCCAGTAATTGCCAGGACATTTGAAGTTTTGCTGGTAAGGGTTTTTGGAAGTGATTTGCCATTGCCTGCTTTCTAGGGCTGACACGGAGTGACTGGCCCAAGGTCACTTAATTGACTTTGTCCCTAAGCAGGACAAGAATTCCTAGTCTCCTGGTTTCTAGCCTGTTGTCTTAAATTGGCTCTTTGCCTACCTACCTACCCACCTATCTACCTGGGCTTATAAGTCATTCAAGTCCAAAGTGGTTTACATTTCCCACTTTCAAGTTTATAAAGCAAAAGAAAAAAAATGGTATAGCAAGATAAGCATTAACAATTAGAAACAAAGTAATGAAAATGTTTTGGCATCCAGGAGAACACTCAAACGTCTGAATACAATCCATAAACGGAGGCTTCCCACTCATATCAGTCTCACTCCCAGAGCTCTCTTAAAATGTCAAGTTTTGATATTTTTTCTGAAGCTCGGTAATGGAAGTTGAGAAAAAAAGAAACATTAAGAAATTATACAACCATGTTCCGTGCCTTCATGAAGTTGTAAGTTGCCAAGGTACCCAAGTGATTGGATACACTCTACACCAGTTCTAGAATTGCAGTATCTCAGAGCTACAGTCCATCCATGGGCCTTTTATGACCCCCCCCTTTCAAAGGCAGCCTCTGCCTCATCAGTAATTTCAAATTCCAAAGTGTAGTAAAATATTCTGGCTGCTCTGATAAAAAGCAAATCGCTTGTCTCAAATGTTGCTACCTATGAAATTTAAGGGGGTCTTCTGCACTTTTCATCAGGCTCGCCTGATACGCCAGTTGCGCCCCTTTCTGGATCGGGACGCCCTATGCACAGTCACTCAAGCCCTCGTTGTTTCCCGCCTGGACTATTGCAATGCTCTCTACATGGGGCTCCCCTTGAGGTGCACCCGGAGGCTCCAGCTAGTTCAGAATGCAGCNGCCTCTAGATGCTCCCATGTAACACCTCTCCTGCGTGAGCTGCACTGGCTGCCGGTGGCCTTCCGGGTGCGCTTCAAGGTGTTAGTAACAACTTTTAAAGCGCTCCATGGCAATGGACCTAGGTATTTGCAAGACCGCCTCCTACCAAACACCTCCCTTCGACCAGTCCGCTCCCACAGAGAGGGCCTCCTTAGAGTGCTGTCGGCCAGACAATGCCGGCTGGCGACCCCCAGGGGAGACCCTTCTCTGTGGCAGCTCCTGCCCTCTGGAATGACCTACCCCCCGACCTACGTACAGTTGCGGACCTCGCCTTTTTCGCCGAGCCCTGAAGGCCCATCTATTCCGTGCGGCCGGCCTGGCGTAGCTTGATTATGTTTCAGTGGGGGTTTTTTTACGGGTGTGTTTTTAGAACAGGCCTGTTATTTAATTCGATTTTAAAACAAACTATTTATTTATTATCGTGGTTTTTAGTATCGCCTGTTCACCGCCCTGAGTCCCGCAAGGGAGATAGGGTGGTATATAAATTTAATAAATAAATAAATAAATAAATAGTACCTTTACCAAAGTATAACCAACTCCTAAGGAGACATATGAAAAAGATCACATGTGACAAATCAAAGAAAACTTACAAATATGAAGAAATTGAAGACAAACATCAGATATTTCATGCAGCTCAAACAATCCCCTTCCATGTTTGTGCACAGTCCAATTGATCCTGAAAAACAAGGACAGTTCTTTAGAATGCTTACATTTTATACAGGTATATGCAGTTTCCATCTACTTCTTCTTAAAGCCCTGTGGAATTCATTATATAGAAAGAATGGATCACATTCAAATGATGTAAAATACACCAGGTTAATAGGTATAGTGAACATCTATAGTTCTCAACCTGTATTCTCCCTGATGCATCAGGATTGGAGTGAAACCTTAATGAGAAAGTGCTAAACGATTTACCATCTTGTTTAAAACGTAACAACCAAAGTTTCCTCCTTTTGTGAATTAGCCTTGTGACCTCACTCTAAAGCTTTCAAGTACCCTAGTGTATATATAATAAATGAGCACCCTAGTGTATGTATAATGAACACATCATAGTGTGTATATAACAAAAAAAACCCTGAAATTGTTCAAATAAACTAGGCAGGTGAATCTAAGACATTGCCAGTACTCTGGATAAATTCTTCTTATTGAAATGTAGCTACAATTAATAGTCCAAAGTTAGGTATAGATTAAAAAAAACAGATGCAATGATTAACTCTAAAAGGCAGGTTTCCCAAAAATTTTTCATTTCTTCTAAAACCCTTAAGATAAAAAAAGATAAAAGCTTGTACATAAGACAAAAGAACAAGCCTACACTCTTGATACAAGTGGGACTTGGAGGATGTTTTCCCAACTATACCCCTCCTTGCTTTCTCTGGAACGGAGGACATGTTTGAGTCAGTACTGACTTTTGGTGACTTACTGGAGAAATCGCTTCAATTTTCTTGCAAGGTTTTGGAAGTATTCGCCATTGCCTTCTTCCTAGGGCTGAGAGAGTGTGACTGGTCCAGAGTTGGTCCAGCTGGCTTTGCATTTAAGTCAAAACAAAAATTCACAGTCTCCTCTGGTCCTTAAACTGGTTTCTCCTCTGGTCCTTAAACACTACAATTAACTGACTCGCTCTATTCCTATCATACTTATACCATACAAAGCTATAGGAACCAGGCTTGAAGATTCTTGTGTAAAGAAGTACAGACATACACATGTGCTAGTCCCTTCCAGACAAAGAACAAAAAAACATGATTGGGGCAGGTAGCATTAGAAAACTGTGACATCAACCAACACATGTTAAATACAATAACCTATAACCCCAAATACTGTGCATTTGGTAAAAAAAAAATGTCCACTGCACTGAATAGTGGCTTCCCTCTTCCTTCTAATGCCAGAATCCTGTTTAAAAAAGGCTTTGGGACATTTTAAACAGTAAATGCAGAAATTATCTATAAGATTGCAGATACTAGGAAATAAATCCTTCTCCTCCATTATTACTGTTTTTCCTACTTGAAAGAATTTGGAATTGCTTTATTCTAACACCATGCAGTAGCTCTTCCCTGTGTGACCATGGAAACTGATCTGCTTTAGTTAAGCTTTTCACCAGTCCCTAAGCAAGCTGAAATGCTCCCTCTGAAGGAAAAGGCATGATGGTGATAGCCAGAGGCAGATACATGACCCAGTTCCACCCATCACACTGCCTGCACGTATGAAAAAGACAGTGAGCGGGTCATCTGGATGTCCGGAAAACGGAAAGGAAAACAGTGGGGAGTCCAAATGCAAGCTGATTCTACAATATTTGGGTACTCTCTGAACAAAGCAAAGAAACAGAGCTGGTTATCTCTCCTCTGCCTCAGAGGACTTTCATACCGTATTTAGAGGTGCCTTACGAAAATCTTCCCCAAGTGGGAATGAAGGGGGGGGAAATTCAAAAAGGCCACTTTTATGGAAGTCAGAGGGTGCCAGAAATATTTCTTCTTTATCTATGTGATCATTTTTAAAGGAGGAAAAGAATGGAATGGAGACAGATGTTGCTAAATTCTTTCACATTCACAGGTCTTAAAGGTGATAAGATCTCAAGGAGTAGTAAGCATTTTTTTTAGAATAATGAGTGTAGAACATATTTACTGTTAAAACCTCAATGTTTTCTTCATTAAGTGGATAATAATTTCTTTTATAAATGTAGTGAAGTGCCAGCTTTGAAGCTGGGCTGGCTGCATTTTTTTTTTCATTAAAAATTCCTTTGGATATTCTGAAAAACCCTCAAGACCTGATTATGCTGCCAGGCCTGGAGCCACAAAGAGCCAGAAACTTGTCTCAAGGGGGATTCATTGCTGAGGAGCCATTTTTATCCTTCTTCCTTCTCCTATGGTTAGTATTTTTCTGATAATTATTAGTGTGGTGTTTTAGATTTTAATTTGTTTTTATATTGGCTCTTTTAGCTCCTATGCCCTATCCAGAGTCACCTTTGGTGAGATGGATAGCTATATAAATTCGATAATAAATATAAATATATACATAAATAATTTTTATTTGAAGGCTTTTCTTGTTTAGTCATTATATTCATTCAATTTAGAGGACACTCCATTCCACACACCTCTCTGGTTTACAATGTTTAAAACAAGCAAACAATAAAATATAGATCATTTGTGCCTGCAGGAATGCATTCTTTAATCAAATAGAATTGTATATGAGCTTGGCATCACTCTCCCCAAGAGCTGAGGGAGCAGCCATGTTTCAGTGCCATTTTGAACATCAGCCTCAGAGCTATATTGATTTTTTTTTCCACAGTGAGGCAGGCTTCCTAAGTTGCAAAACAAACTCTTCCTATAGAGCTTATAAGAATATATTTTCATTTATGTTTGTGAGATACAGTGCATTCATAAAGTATTCAGACCTCCTTCACTTTTGTCACATTTTGTTACGCTGCAGCCTGATTCTACAGTTGTTCAAATTTTTTTTTGTTCATTAATCTACACTCAGTACCCTATAATGACAAAGTTAAGAATTTTAGAACCATATTTTACCATATTTTTTTAATCATATTGATTAACTGATCATGTGCCTTCAAGTTGGTGTCAATTTTTAGCTATCATCTAGCTAAACCTTCTTCGGGATAATCTGTCCCCAATATTCAGGTCAACCAATGACATACTCACCATCACTATAATCTAGTTTATTCACTTTATTGCTGGCCACTCTATTTATTTATTAAATTTATATGCTGCCCATCTCATTATCAAGCAATTCTCTTCTTTTTTATTTCCATATTTCTCAGCATTGTTTTTTCAAGTGATCTGTATTTCAAATGAGAATTCTGGACTGATTTTTCCATAATTTACTTGGGGCTTATTATTTTTTTTTGCTACCCATCATATTCTTTAAAGATATAACTCAGCAATACACTCTCTTTATTGACAATAATCAAGCATAGACACAAATAATGATTCATAAGCATTTTAAAAAAGAATAAAGTGATTATCAAGTTAATATGGATTTATAAAATGTCTTGTCAGTATTTTTAATCAATAACTTTCTTACTATCTTGTAAAGACTATGGACATAATATAACTTGAGTTCAGCAAAACATTTAATAAGTTGTCTTATGACATTCCTAGCTTGGAAACACATAAAGAATGCTCATCAGTAGTTCCTTATAAAATTGAAGTGATGTAACAAATAAGGTGCTACAGACTTTGGTAATGAGCCTATACACTTTAACATTTTCATTAATGTTTCAATGAAAAGATATAGAGATTAGATAAGATAGTTAATACAGTCAAAAACACAAAGCAAATTCAAAATAAATTTGAAAATTTAGAAAAGTGGAGTGTAATTTAATGGAGATAAATTCTTTTCGTAGAGATGAAGAATCAAATGCAAAGTAGAAGACTTTGGAACACCTGACTTAGATAACAATATGTGAGAAAAGCTTCTTGGACTTGTAGTTCATTAAAAATAAATATGAGTTGAGAGAGTGTTATTAGCAGCTGCTAAAAAATAGTTGCTAAAAGCTGCAATTTTAAGTTGAATAAAAAGCAATTTACAGAAGAATAGTCTCCACCTTATAAAAAGTGATGGTTGGGTGGGTGGCATCACAAACATTAAGTCTAGGAACCATATTTTTAAAAATAGATTCTGAGAAACTGGAACAGGTAAAACTGACACTGAGGATGGGCAGGACGCTGCGAAGTTATAAGGAGCCAATGAAGGCATGATTATTTTTGAGAATAAAAGACAGAGGAGAATACAATAGTGCTCTTCTGGAGGATATCACTCAGAAGATCAAAGGTGCTCTCTGTTGTCTCAAACTCTAGGACAGGGGTCTTCAAACTTGGCCCTTTTTATGACTTGTGGACTTCAACTCCCAGAATTCCTCAGCCAGCCATGCCTGGCTGAAGAATTCTGGGAGTTGAAGTCCACAAGTCAAAAAAGGGCCAAGTTTGAAGACCCCTGCTCTAGGACATGGAATAATGGTTTTAAGCTAGAGGAAGGCAAATTACAGTTGAATACTATTAAAAAGTTTGTATTTGTTAAAAAAAAAAGATTATGACAATGGAACCAATTATCAAGAGAAGCGATGAACTCCATTTCAACAAATGTCTTTAGGAGATTGAGTAGCAATCTGCAGGGCAGAATTCCTGCACTGAGCAGTGGGGTTGACTTGATGCCACAAATGGCAGCTTTTACACCTTTTAGATATTTTATGCTTTTTAAACTATTGCATGTATACATAGCCTTAATCTAATGCTTCCACAAGAGCATAGATTTTATCATTATTTGCCTATTTAAAAATTTCAAAAGAAAATAATGAAGTTTTTTTTCTTTACGAGGCAGGAAAAAATAATTTTAAAGACTTACCTACACAGCTCTTGGAATATCTATGATAATCTCTAATAGTATATAGGTCCCATGTACCTTTTACTGGCCACTTTTATCCTATAAGAAGAAGATGTTCAATTAATGTACAAGTCAGTAAAACACAATCTTATTAGATAAACCCTTTATAAAAATACACCAACCCAATGAATATACTCAGTCTAATTGCATACTTAATTCGGTGTACATTAGCACTAATGAAAGTTCTTAGCATCCATCCAAACATCCAACCTTGCCTCATCAACCTTTGAATTGATTCTCAAGCTTACAAACCATATATTTCAAACTTTATCATAAATTGATAACAAATATTCAATGTTAAATTAGTTCATCAAATTATTTTCTGGGCAGTAAATAAAGTGATTTGTAGTAAGTTACTTCTTTCAGAATAGCTGTGAGAGAAACTAATAGCAATAGCTCTTAGATTTACATACCGCTCCATAGTCCTTTAGAACCCTCTCTAAGTGATTTACAGAGTCAGCATATTGCCCCTAACAATCTGGGTCCTCATTTTACTGACTTCAGAAGGACGGAAGGCTGAATCAACTTTGAGCCAGTTAGCATTGAACTCCTGGCTGTGGGCAGAGTTAGCCTGCAATACTGTATTTGAACCACTGCATCACCATGGCTCATAAGGGTAAATGCTTCAGAAAATCTCTGTTATGCAAACTACTAAAGTCCTTGAAAAAGTATTCATTTAAATGAATGATATGAATACATTGCATCATATGAATCATCAATTTAACAACTTCAACATAAATAGCAAATAATTTAAAATATCACAATCAGTCCGAAATGATTGTACTGCATAGTACATCACCATATGTGCTTTGTTACTATATTTTTACTTTTATCTTAACTAATTTACCTTACTACTTCCATGTTTACTAGGATTCAGTAATTATATATTTATAAACAGGCAATAAGTAAACTATTAAGATAGTTTATAATTCTATCTCATTATGGTGTAAACATTAAAGTATTTACATTTACATTTAAGATTATGGAACATATAAGTTTAACATTCTGTTTCTCTTAAGTGACTGAAAATATTATCATTATCAAGTTTAAGGTTCTAAACTTACTTGAAGTACTTGAGCAATTTTCTCAATGACAGAATTGTAATGAAATCTTCCAAGAATCAGGGTTTGGAATTGTGCTTTTAACATGTTCATTAATCACCTAACTTAATTAAACACTGAATTCCTGGATTTGTGGATGATTTCAAACTATCCCTAGTGGTTAAAAAAATGGATTGTGAGGAACTCTAGAATAATCTTTTTAAACTGAGTGAATGATCAACCAAATATGGTTCAATTTAAGTAAGCACAATGTGATCCACATTGTGACAAACATCTTTATCTTCACATATATATTATTTGGATATGAAATGTCTCTAACTAGAAAAAAAGGTCAGGGTCTTAGTGGATAGCACAATGAAGATAATAATTATATAGCTACAAAAAGGCAAATTCTATGGTAGGGCACCTTAGGAAACATTGTAATACAATTTTATACAAATGTAGAATGTGTCCACATCTGGAATATTGTATGTAGTTCTAATGGCCACATTTAGAAAGATATAATAAAGCCTGAAAAAGCAACTTACAATAACCAATGGGCTTCAAGCACCTTCATATGGGAAACACTATTATGTCTGGGAGCCTCCAGCTTAGTAAAAAAGAAGTGAGGGAGAACATGATTGAGATATATAAATGCATGAATGGCAAGGAGTAAGTATTCAAGAAGTTGTTGTTTCTGGTTGGGAGAAGTCTGCCCCTAAATACCAGTTGTAGGAGAACAACAATTGGAAAGTGATCTCTCTGCATCTCCTATTTGTGAACAAAGGCCCTAGGCTGTCCACTGTGAAAAAACAAAATGCTGGTCTAAAATTGTCCTGGCCCTTTTTGCAGCTGGATTATTCTTAAAATTATTTTACTTTTTAAATAAGCTCTATTTTAAAACTATTTTTAAATAGCCAAAAATAGTGAGGATGCAAGCTTACTGAAGTAGTAAATCTGTGCACATGTAAAGCTGGAAAGAAACGCCACTGATGGAAAGAAATAAATAGCTGGGCAACTGCACAGCTGCATGATCACATTTAAAAAAAACAAAAAAAAAAACCAACCCATAATATAGTAATATCAAACATGGAAACTTCTTCTAGTGCAGGAGAAGTGGCAAACACAACAGCCAGGATGTAGATTATGATATAACCATTGCAAATATCCTACTTCTTAAATACATGTAAAAGCCCCAGCAGAGATAATAGTGGTTAGCTTGTTATATTGAAAATATTGCCCTACAACTGATTTTGGATTATTTAACGGTGCACTAATATTAACATGGAAACTAACAAAAACAATTCTTATTCAGGATATATGGGAGATAGATGCTCATACTAACAAGCTATGTGTTATAAAGCTGAAGCCACTTTTTATAAATAAAACGGATGTAGGGAGAAGAAAGAATGAAAAATGTTTTGCTTCTAGTCTTGTAACCTCCACTGAATGAAAAAGGGCTTTTAAAAGAAATATGTGCATATGTGATTTGTGCAGGGGTTGGTGGTTTTTTTTTGCTCCTCCTATATCTTTTCCCATTTTTTAAGCTGCCTGATGCTTCCCTTGCCTTTCTTTTACAGAATTCCAGCCACTATGTTACATTTAATTGATTTAGGCTGCAATCCAATGTATTCTAACCAGAAAAGCCCAACATGGTTTATTTCTAAACTTGAGCTATTAATCTGCTTTCACTTACTGCAAATGTCTTGCACCACAAGCACAGAAGTAGCTGCCACTTTAAAGTTTACATTTTTCTGCAAAGATGTAATGCCTTTACGTAAACCTATCATTAGGGAAACAAAGTCTGAGAGCATTCCTGCCCCTGCTGTGCAACAGCCTGCAAGTGCATATAATTATACGGCTACTAGTTCTCAGAGGCTTGTATGAGGGGGAAAGAAAGTTTGCTTTCTCGCAATTCACCATATTTTGAAATATTGACTCTGCTTCCGAGAGAGAAGAAACTTTGAGAAGTCACCAGAAGTAGGAAGTGGTATATCATTATAAAAAATGATACTGTATAGAATAGATCATTTGATGACACTGGGTAGGATTGGTACAGTACAGGTAGTCCTTGACTTACAACAATTCATTTAATGGCCATTCAAAGTTACAATGGCACTGAAAATGGTGATTTATGACAATTTTTCATACGTATGACTGTTACAGCATCCCCATGTACATTTGGATGCTTTGCAGCTGGTTCATGTTTATGACAGTTGCAGTGTCCTGGGGTCAGCTGATTACCTTTTGCAATCTTCTGACAAGCAAACCCAATGGGGAAGCCAGATTCACTTAACAACCGTATTACTAATTTAACAGCTAAAGTGATTCACTTAACCAATGGGACAAGAAAAAGTCATAAAATGGGGCAAAACTCACTTAACAAATTTCTCGCTTAATAAGATAAATTTTGGGTTGAAGTTTGGTCATAAGTTAAGGACTACCTGTACACTGCTGTGGTAGAAAGCAAGATGGTCTTCAAAACTCACTTACAGCTAACTAAAACTTCCAGCTGGCTGGTGATGGCAGGGCCTCTTCCACCACCTTTGAGGGATCCAGGGGAAACCTATATCTTTCTCATTATGTCAATTAAAAAGAACCATCAGCTAAGTGGTTGCAAATACTGCCTGAAGTGGCTGCTTCAAATTGCCCATTGAAATGGCTGCCACACTTTGGAATTGCCTCTCTAGGTGGCTGAAGTTGAGGATAAGCTTCCCCTCAGCTGATTTTTAAAACAATAAAGAACTAGGATTTAGCAATTCAAAAGAATTTTAAAACTACCACCCAACAAACAACTGTGCTTAATTACTATTCGGTCAGCTTATTTTTCCAAGTAGAAATGCAAGATCTAAAAGACATTATTAAACTCAGGGCCAGACTTCTGAAACAATTAATCTCAACAGCATCCTCTGTCTTCTTAAACATCACTTGACCTGTTTTTATTTATTCAGATTCTCCTTGAATCCTACATTAAATCAAAATACCACCAAGTTCTGTGATGATGCAAACAACAAGATTGAAAACAGATGTAATTTTCTTACCAAAATCTATTTACTGAATGCCTTTTGAAAATGGTCAAAACACCATTTAGCCTTTCTTGATTACCCTATCAAAATGTTGATATTTTTGTCAAAACTATTACTAGCTCTTTGGATTATAGCCAACTGAGGTGAGGCCATTTTAAAAAATCAAATAAATACAAGTGTTTCCAAATGATGCTTGGTCTTGGCAGGTATGTCAATTTGAATTGACATAGACCAGGCATGTCAAACTCACAACATCACATGATGTCACACGATGTATTGGGACTTTTTCCCCATTGCCAGCAATGGGGTGGGCATGGTTTCGCTGTGATGCATCCAGTCTGCAGGCTGGCAGTTTCACCTGCCTGACATAGACTGTGAAGTATGGTCTCACTAAATATTTTGTTCCTCAGCAATTTATAGCCTTACCTAACATTGCTGGGCCAATCAAAAACCTGTCTTCATTTGTTATTTATTTGCACAGCAGTGACTAGACCACATAATAAATGGTTAATAGTTAAGTTTCAATGATATCCCCTTTCAATCCATGTTTCTAATTCAGCTTTAAACCATGATTTAACTTATTCATCAGCAAATCTAGAAATCTTTGTAGCTGATCAAACCCACCATAACTGATTGTTGAGACAAATGTATTAGTGGATGCAGGTCACGTTTTTTATGAAAAGAACTCAAGAACTGAATGATAAGACTTTTCACATCCAAAATATTTATTTCCAATCCATGCTTATTCCCACCTCCCCTCATAGCTGTTACAACAAACATAAAAGATGCAAACCTGTGAAGCAACCAGCTCTTTGCTGAATTTTAGGAATGAAATGCAACCCAGCCAGGCTGACAAAATCTTTTGAGGAAGAAAATATCCCATCTGTATATCTCTTCAAAATGACATTTGTGCTAGCTTCACATAATACACTTAATCAGATAACATTAAGGATTCATCCACATGTTCTTCTTACTCCAGCATGAAGATGACTCACTAAGTTTCCTTGACCAGAATACAACCCACTCCACTCCACCATGAAGGAGTGTACAATTTGTACAATTATAGTGTCCTCCCTTTTTCTCCTGTCCATCAACTGGTAGACATGCCAGGCAGAAGGATGTCAATTAGAAAAGAGAGTTTATTGATGGAGACCTTCAAAGTCTTCAAAGACCAACTCAGAGGGGGGGAAAGAACTTCTGGATGCTTTCCCAGCATTGGTAGGAAACAGACAAATCCACCAATTTGGGGGTATGCTAACCACTATCTGGACAGAATTTTTGACTAGCATCATTACAAAGCTGAAGAATTATTAACATCTGTAAAAAGTCATAAATCATCTTAATTTTCAGACAGCCTCCAGAGGCAAGCAGATTAAGATTGATACATGGAACAGCCCTTAATGCAGAATGTTAAACCGGATTATTTTCTTTGTGGCTGATTAAGTTGTGGACCCCAAGTCACTTTATCATTGTTTCCTGTTGAATAGTATAATTACTGGGTCGAATTATGAGGTGCTATTTCATTGATAACAATAATTTCTGCTTAACTTGCAGCATGTTACATTATTGATCTCTGGTGGAAGGAGAATATGGAAGATGGAGTACCAAAAGGGTTGCTTGAGTAGTGGGAGAAAGAGTAAGTTTGACCTTCTTTGAACAGGTGAAAATCTATGGAGGGGGTCCCATATAATCCTTTGAGAACTGTGCGCAAAATGGGCAAAGCTGGCAGTCAGAGCAGTGGCACATAAACATGAACAAAAACAGGTTTTTTTGCTGGAAGAAGCGTTAACCTTATATGCTGTAACTTACCCTGACACAGAAACATTCACTGCAAGAAATGAGAGTGGGCAGGGTTCAGATTCTCTCTCCTTAGATGTTGATTCGGATTGTTGTTTCTCTGCTGGAGGTTAACAATAATTCAGATGTAGGGCATATCACTATTTGTATGTTCTTAGCAGAAATAAAAACAAACAAACTTACAGAATGTTGATGGAGGAAAAAGAGAATCTTTAATCTCTTTGATTCCCACAACTTTAGTCATGTTTGCTGGCTTTCGTGTTGGAAGCACTGAGTTGCTTCCAGGTTGAAAAGGATTAGCCGGTGGCATCACCGTTGCCCAAGGGATGCCTGTTTGGGGGCTCCTTTCATGTCCCCCATTAATGTGTCCATCAAAGTAGTACCTATCTATCTGCCTCTGATTACTCTCTTTCAAACTGATAGTCGGCAGGAGCTGGGGCGAATGACAGGAGCTCACCCTGTCAAGCATCCTAACTAACTGAGCCAACACATTCCTGGACAATCTTAGTGACAAGAGTGTTTATAAATTATTCTTCTCCTTCAACCTCTTCCTAACAGTTGTGCTACTTAAAGTCCACTAGCTTAGGCTTCTTGGATCATAAGCATGCAATGTGAGACATCTTGAGAACTGTAGGCAAGGAGGTAGGGAATTCAAAGAGGCAAAATTGGAAATAATGGACAGTCCTTGCATATTACATTGAAAACATTGGATTCAATCCACTGAACCACTATATACCCACTTTGTCAATGAGTAAAATTCTCACCTCGCTAGCCCCAGTGCCCACATTTTCTTCTCAAATTTCCAAATGTACAATATTCACTATATTAGATAAATTTATTTGTTTTATACTATTTTATATTGGCTGCCATTGTTGATTTTGGGAACTTCAGTTAATTTTATCATAAACTCAGTATCTTTGTTTTATTTTATTTTATTTTTTATTTTATTATATTCTTTTTTATTTTATTTTATTATGGGTTTCTGTGCCAGTTTTAGACTCTTGGCAGTTACCTGGGCTGGTCCCTCAGTTTTCTTTGCAAGAATTTGGAAGTGGCTTGCCCTTGTCTGGTTCCTAGGAATGAAAGAAAGTGACTGCTTGAAGGTCACCCAGCTGGCTTCATGTCTAAGGTAGGGCTAGAACTCACGGTCTCCTGGTTTCCAGCCTGGTGTCTTAACCATAACCCAGGGGTAGGCAACCTTGGCTCTTTTATGACTTGTGGACTTCAACTCCCAGAATTCCTGAGCCAGCCATGCTGGCTCAGGAATTCTGGGAGTTGAAGTCCACAAGTCATAAAAGAGCCAAGGTTGCCTACCCCTGCCATAACCCATATCAGTTTTCTCTAAATGCTAGCCTTTAAATATAACATTTAAATACTAGACTTAAAAGTCTATTTTTAAGTCATTTGCCCCCTAAGGTGGCTAACAAACACTTTAAATAAATAAACAATTTCGGTTAACTGAAGCTTGGATATAAATTAGCCCACTGAGCATGAATTTTATACTGCTTAGATCAAGAGGTCACTACCATCGAAAGACTACTTTACTGCCTGTAAATTCAATTAGTTTCATAAGTGAATTGTGTGAGTACGATCAACTCCCACATAGCACAAAACAATCTCTTAGCTTAAAACCTCAACTACTGAGCTCTGATTGCATTTATTATTATAGAATCTCGAATTCTATAAACTTTAGACTAAAATGTTTTGAAGTGAAGAATGAGAATTTCTAATCTCCTTGAGATTAATTCAGAATGTAAACAGAACTCCAAAGAGCAATCAAATCTGCTTTCAAGAGAAATTGTTTTAGATATTATCTCATGTAAGCCATCCATTTTAACACAATTGATGTGCATATTTTAATAATGGCGAACTTATTTTCCCCATAATTTTCTATTTATTTATTTGGCACAGGTAAGGAGAAACATTCTGAAGCTTTCCCTTTAATTACTGAGGCATTGCTATGCCACCGTTTTTACTCTGTAGGCATTCCTGAACAAAAAGAGCACACTTTCTACTAGGTCAATAATACCATCCAATGCATGCTGGCTGTAATTGTTGCAGACAGTTTGAAAAGGTTACCATAATTTTACCATTTGTATTTAGAGCAAAAGGACATGCCACAAGCGACAATGTATCATCACATCTACAGGCGCAGAAGCCTATGCTATCATTTCAAACCATTTTCCCCCATTATTTTATTAAAAAAAAACAACAACAAAGAAAACCAGTAGATGTATGAGCGGTTTGGACAGGTATTTCATTTAAAATCTGAAGCTTAAAATAACAACACTGCAGTTTTAAGGAATAATGACGACATTGTTTTATATATTAAAGCCACACAATTTTGTGTTGAATTGCAGTGGTAATTCAGCAAACTTTTGTGACTTTCCTAGCCATTGACTTAAATCAGGTAAAAGAAGACCCCTTCTAAATTCACATGGCTGTTAATTTAAAGACATATAATGAAGTTCTTTCAATAGACTGAGTAAAAACAGAAATAGGGGAAACTTAATTTCCCTCCCCCCAGCAGAAGGGGAAGAGGCATTCTTCAGTGGGTCACCATTAAATCTCCATTCTATTAACGATGAGGCCACCATAACATGTAACTACAGTAAAGGTTCTCAATTTACTGAACAATGGATATAGGAAGCTGGTGAAAAAGATCTTCCAAATAAACCTGAATCATCTAATTTGAAACTAGAGTTTAGATTTTGCTAAAGTCTACATGGAAAACACACAGTGGAGGCTTGGCCCAAAGGTGCTGTTCAAAAGGCAACTGGACTTTCTTGTTTTTTTCCCCTTGAAAATGTTTCACTTCTCATCCAAGAAGCTTCTTCAGTTCATGACGTTCTCAGAATTGAAGAAGCTTCTTGGATGAGAAGTGAAATCTTTTCAAGGGGAAAAAAAAGCAAGAAAATCCAGTTGCCTTTGATCAGCACCTTTGGGGCAATCATGACCTGGATGACTGAGAATCCCATAGACAGTGGAGGCCTGGATGCTCCCTGAGCTTGGTTGTTTGCTTTCAAATGTTTTATTACCCAACTAGATAACAACAGTGAGTAATGCAACATCTGCAAGCAAACAATCAAACTCAGAAGCACTGAAGATTCCACACTTTAGCTCTGAGCTACAGATATTTTCTTCTGTTGGAAACCCACAGTATCAGATTCTCTAGGCCAGAGGTAGGCAACCTTGGCTCTTTTATGACTCGTGGACTTCAACTCCCAGAATTCCTGAGCCAGAAATTCTGGGAGTTGAAGTCCACGAGTCATAAAGGTTTTAGGTTTTAGGTTTTATTAAATTTATACCCCGCCTTTCTCCTGGCGGACTCAGGGCGGCTTACAGCAAGTTAAAAAAACAGACAAACCATACAAAATACTAAGTTTAAAATACAATTAAAATGAAATAGGTTGCCTACCCCTGCTCTAGGCCAACTGAACTTAGACACTGTATAGCAAAGTCACAAGACTTTATATGTAAGGTCACCCAGTTATTGTGCGAGAATAAAATTATCCCAAAAGATCATGGAATTTATTTGTTTGTTTGTTCACTACCTTGATGGTAAACATATCCAACAAATCTTCTTCCTTCTGTTTTCCCCACAACAACCACCTTGTGTGGTGAGTTGGGCTGAGAAAGAGTGATTGGCTCAAGGTCGCCCAGCTGGCATTCATGGCTAAGGTGGGACTTGAACTCACAGTCTCCTGCTTTCTAGTTCGGTGTCTTAACCACTAGACCATATTCACTCTCAGAATAAAGTAAGCTAGTATTTTAAGGAGCAAATGTACATTCAAACCACCCGAGATAAGGACAGATTCTGTTCCTAGGAAGGGATTTAATATACAAGTATCCATGTGGCAATATAAATATGCATGTAGTAGAGTCCTCTGTAGAACCTTAAAGTAGCTTCAAAAGGGGCCACACAGTGATATTTATAAATGGTTATTGCACAGAGCAAATAGCTCATGGCCCTTGCTTCATAATGTGTAATAAGCATGAGAACATGCTTTTTACCACTATGGAGCAAAGCACAAAATGATGTTTGTGAAGCTCGGAGCCTGCCAAGATTTGATCTTTGCTTGTTTTTCAATTTTTTTCAGGCACTGAAAGAGATTCTGAGATATTTTAATGTCTCAGTTTGATTAATGCTTACACTGTCAATTTTCCAGGAACGGCGGCCTACTACAAGGATTCTGGAGAATACAAATACTTCGGTTTTATTATGAGTGATGACAAGGTAATTCTCTATGCAGTAAAGATCAAGCACCCTGAGACATTGCCTCAGCCACATTTGTGATATAGATGTAGTTGCATCATTTCCATGCAACAGAACCAAAACAGATCTGCCAGCCCACACAGAGGGATAAAACGCTGATCTTGGTGGGACTTGCCTTAAGGAGATCATATAAAAATACATTCTTGTTTTATCTCTTTCTAGATGGATATAGAGAGAAAGTACTTGCATTTATATTCTTTCTTTCCTTCCTATCTTCATGCTCTGCATATTTTTCTCCACAGCAAAAAAATCTGTGAAGGAGGTTGGTTTCAGAGAAAGTTATGCAGTAAACTGGAATAGATCTGAGTTTTTCCCAATGCCAATCCGTTACACCATTATAGCTCTCACAAAGCAGAGATAACCCTTGAAGTATATCCAGTTAGTATAAGATTGTGTGATCGTCCTTCGCTACACTTTAGATTTCCTCCTCGTGCATCTTTGTTTGATGCTAAATGAGAAACAGGTTCTGTAGTTTTGAAATTACTTTTACCAATAAAAATAACACTACTAGAATAGAGCACACATAACTGATAGCACATGGAAACAATAGTTTTCATGTCCAGTAATAGCAATAAAAAGTGCCATAAAAGCAATCTGAGGAAGAATAGAATAAGTGAAAGAAATAGCCCCAAGGAGGACCTTTAGTGAGCCAGAGGTTATGAAACCAGGGCAAATCTTAATATAGACTGGGCCATTAGAAATGCAATCCTTTTCCAACTAATTTCATTTCTTCTGGTCTTCCTCCCATCTCTGC